CTTTTGGTTCTTGATCATGTGCTCCTTAGGGAAGTGGTTCAGTGTTGACTAATTCTTTTTGGTACAGTGACTCTGTGTATTCCTTTCACCTCCTTTTGATGTTTCTTGCATCTTTCAAGATTTTGCCTGTAGAAACCTTGAGAAAACACCTTGAGGTACCTGACGTTGTTAGGTGCCATCAAGTCCACTCTGACTTGGCCTGCTGAGCAATATGTCTGAACCTTGCCTTATTATCCTGCACGATCCTCACTGTCCTTGATATGCTATCTGCAGCCAATTTTTAGTCACTGCGTCAGTCCATTTTGTCAAGAATCTTCCTGTCTTTCTCTAGTCCTCCAACTCCTAGTCTGTTTCCAAGTTCTGTCCCCTCCTGACAACATGCCCAAAGTAAATTAGATGACATTTCACTACCTTCGTCTCTAAGGAGCACTCTGTTTGTACTTTTAGACAGACTGGTTTATTATTTTGACAGCCCATATTCAGTACTCTTCTCCAACACCACAATTCAAGGCATCAGTTACTTTTCTGTCATTCATTGTCCAACTTTCATATGTATAGGGAGCAATTGAAAACACTGGGGTTTGGATCAGGTGCATCTTAGTCTTTAAACTGGCACACTCTTTAGCACTTTGGAGAGGTCTTTGACAACAGATTTTCCCAATTCAATGGGTCTTTTGATTACTCGACTTTTGCTCATGTGAAACCTAAACATAGATCACGAAACAGTTGTCAGAAAAGAACAAGGGAACATAGCAATATTTAAAATCAGGGAAGGATAGTATCCTTTTTCTATACCTATTCAATTTGTATTTTGAACAAATTATTCCAGGAGCTGGACTATATGAAGTAGAATGTGACATCTACTTGGATTGGACGAAGACTCATCAACAACCTGCATCATGCAGATTAAACAACTATGGTAGCATAACCTCTGAATCACTAAGCCACTGGAGCTCCTTTGGAGGAAGACAACCACCTCTTTGGGAGTAGCCTTTTGTAGCCCTTCCTGTCTCTTTAAGAAAGCGAGGAGAAGCTTGAAGAAAGGGCTGCTGGGAAAGAGGTCGGAAGTGGAGCCAAGACCTTCACCCTTCCCTCCTCCCATCAGGCTCTGGGGAAGCTGCGCTCACAACCATGTGTCCCTGTGCTATAGCTTCTCTCTGCTGTGCGGTGTTTAAAAAGGAAAGGTAAGAGCAGGAGGTCTGTGTCTGCACCTTTAAGATCGGCTCCCCGCCTTCCTTTTGCCCCTGGAAAACAATGAGGACACATGCTTCTCTAGTTTACACTTTTTATTCTTTCAGCTTTTCTTATCGATTACTGGAAGGTGGGACCCAGCACATAATCACATACTACATAACTGATGCCTCATTGGTGCTGGAAAGGGAGGAGAAAGCAGCACTCTAAATGACATAACAATCCAAAATAATCTATTTGTTTCCCTTTATTTTTTGAACCTTGTGATTCTGGAGACAACCCAAAGAAACCATCATCACCTACTAACAAGTTTTAACCACCTAGCCGCTGTGTGGGAGAAAGGCCTGGTCATCTCGGTCCATAGCGATTGCAGGCAAGACAACCCTGTGGATCAGCTCCACTCTGTAGGTCATAGTAACATCTTGAATGGGAAGCAGCTAACAACAGGGAAAACTCAATACTGCTTTACAAAATTGGGAGTCATCAGATTATGTAGCATAATTAATGAAAAGTCTTGATGTTGTGAGGTGCCACTGGGGTAAATGGCAAGTCCCACTTGCAGATTTCACCAGAGTTTAAAACGTGAGGAATTAAATAGGTGTATTCTCAAGAAATGGAAAACGTAGCCACATGATGTACTTAACGTGGCAACGGTTTGCTGGCCTTTTGAAGTGTTAAGACGTAGACTTCAGTTTGCCACTGCTTGCTCCTTCTGATATTTTACTCCTAGGAGGCAAGGAAAGGAAAGTTAATGTCTCTCTTACTTTGGGCATATTGTTAGGAGAGGCTGTTTCTTGGAAAGGGACATAATGCTTGGAAAGGTGAAGGGGCAGTGAAAAAGAGGAAGACCTCCAGTGAGATGGATTGACACAGTGACTGCAGCAATGGGCTTAGTGTGTCAGAGATGATGAGCGTGGCACAGGATAGGACAAGGCTCAGGTGTGTTGTTCATCGAGTCACTATGAGTCATAGTTAACTCACTGGCTTCTAACATTTCTCCACCACTTTGGTGACTGTGCTGTTGAGTTGATCGGATGCACAGAGACACTAGATAACTGAGTAGAATTGCCACTTATGGTATCTGAGGCCATAATCCTTACAGGAGCAGTTGCCCAGGTCTTTTCTTCTTGAGGGATTCAAGCTGTTGGATTCAAACTGTGACCCAGTGCTTCATTAGCATTTGAGTGCTTAACAATTGTACCACCAAGGCACTTTATGGCTATAAGAACAACTCAGAGGTTGGACAGTTTCAGAGTTTGAGTTTCTATTCCTCATTTCTACTTGATCTCATCAAAGGATGGTCCTGCTGTGGCCAATCTTTTCATCTCAGGCTTGATCAAGTCTAATCATCAGAGATATTTTCAGAAAGAAATCTGAGAGTTGATAACCTTTTACTACAAATAAGTCTATAGATTTCATTGTTTTAAAGAAAAAAAATCCGAGTACAGGCTAGACTAATATTTTATGACAGCAATCATTTGAAATACTAAGTATAGGCAGTGTAATTCGTACACCTCTGCCCCGTGAACAATTTGTTCACTCCATAACTCTTGGCTAGACATTATTAAGGGCTAGAACTGATGGTGGAAGGAGCTTAGACATAATTTATAAGAATAGCAAAAGGCCCCTTTGTTTGGTCCTTTAACTGATTGATTAGGTAGCTGTAGAGTCGTTCTGGAACACACAGGGTTACTAGCGGCTAAGGAATACATGCAAATGGACTTGGCTACAATGCAGGCAAACAATACCAAGAGTGGATGGGTCTGAAAGCAGTCTCATACTCCCTGGAGCATGTACCAACGTGAAAGGGATCTGAAAGTTCTCTGTTAGACAAAGACTATTTTCTAAAGTTCATGATAAGGTTCTTAAGAGTGCATTAAGACCCTATTCATGAGTACAAAGATGTTTTCTTGAAAATTGTTCATGCCTATCTATGCTTTGTTCTATATTACCTAGGATTTGTTAAATATTTACCTACTCTATTAGATCATGTTTTACTGTAAGCTTTGATTTTCTGCTAGTAAAAGCAGAGGCATTACCATCTCTCAGTGTCATTTGTCTTGAAAGAGTGGTGACTCTCTGAAAACCTACATTTCTTCTCGCTGGTCTTCTTTCGACCCCACGAACACACAAACAACAGCTAGCTGTTTGATTGTTAATCCAAGAACTAAGGATTTGCAATCAAGTCACTATGACATAAAAAAACTAAGGAATTACTTAAAGAATCCACCATCAGCAAGCAAGCCTGAAAACTACTACCTGTAACATCAAACACAGAACACCTGACAACCATCATGGGAAGAAACATAATGGAACAATTAATTTCATTGGACCCCTGAACACTTCCTTACCAGACCCTTCCCACAATCTGTTCCCTTGACCTACTCCTTTTGGTCATCCCCTTAAAAGGCCTGTTTTGATGGTGGGATGTCAGGAAATGGTCTTTAAAGCATCAATGCCACTGTTTCCTCTTGGATCACTGGCATCTGAGTAAAACATACTTAAAAGTTTCAATCGTTGTCTCTACTCAAGGTTGGCTTATAGTGACAGGCAGTTAGATGCTCTTTCTGGTTGCCCTGTTCACTCCTCTATTGTATCACTAGAATATAAGTTTCCTATAGGCAGGTGTTCATAGTTGCCAAGGATAGTGCTTGCTTAAACACAAGTGATTAATTGAACATATCAGTGGATTTTAAAGGTATAATTAGTGCAACAGGCATGTTTCTGAGGATTTTTCCCTCCGGGTCAAATAGTTATATATTTGCTCTAAAACCAAATTATGAAAGGATTTCCAGGATGAAAACACTACCTTTTAAAAGTAAGTTTTCTTAAGTGGATACACCAAAGTGCTTCCATCTGGGATACTCTTGTACTTGTGAATTGTCAGACACAGAATTTATACTGTAATTTTGAATATTTACTTTCACTATACTAAGATCTGGAAACGCTGGTCAGCCTTGGAAATTTCACTGTCATTTCTGCTTTTAGAGATCCAGAGCCTGAATTGAGTTTAGTGCCCTTCCCATGAGGAGCAGCCCTAATCAACAGCAGTCCTGACAACAAAGCAGTCCTGGCTTCGGAAGTGGACTAATGGCTTTGAGGCTGAGCTGGAAAGTATTTCCCACGAATGGCTGCAGTCATTTTCTGAGGGCTGTGAGAAGCAGTGGTGTCCGCTTGTTTCCCTGGAGCCACCACCCTTGGAGAGAACCTGGAAGCGTTTTGGACCCTGAACTGAAAGCTTTCCTGGAGGAGAACACTGAGGTGACCAGCAGTGGCAGCCTCACTCCTGAAATCCATTTGAGACTTTTAACTCCCAGATGCAAGTTCTGGTGGGAACGAGCTGACCTGTGGCCCTACAGTGATCCTTACTGGGCTATCTACTGGCCAGGAGGCCAAGCCCTGTCTAGGTATGGTCATAATTGAAAATGGCAACTTTAAAGGCTGCTATAGATTCCCCCCCCCCTTTTTTTGTCAACTCCATCCTCATTCTCTCCTATCAGGAAACTGCTTGAAATTAAAGCTGGATTCAAGAAAGGGTGTGGAATGAGGGCTAGCATCAGATTTTTGCTGATAGAGAATACCAGAAAGATGTTTATTTGTACTTTATTGACCATGCTCAATTCTGTATAGCAGAATACCCCATAGAAGCTTGATTGTTGAGAGTCTCACATGATTTGACCATGTTCTCAGGAGGGACCAGTCCCTGAAAAAAGACATCATGCTTGGTCAGCAGAAGACAGTTGGATTGATACTGTGGCAGCAACAACGGGCAATGCTTCCTCCTCTATTGTACAGAATTGCTGTAGTCCAGAGCCAACTTAAAGGCACTTACAAGCAATAACACTGTGTTAAGTGTACTACCTGTAAATGGAAACATATCCCTTAAGAGGAATCTCAGGGACTGAAAATTTTCCAGGTATTACCCAGTGACTCCAGTTTCTGCTAAATTGTTAAGGGAACTTTGGTGGTGCAGCCCAAGGGGAGTTGTACTGCTAACCAGCGGTGAGGGCCTCTGGTTGTTCTGATCCACCGGGGCTCCGTAAGCAAAGATGGACAATCTCCTCATCTGAGTTGGGTAATAGACATGAGTTGAATTTTTGAAAAATTCTCAGTCTTTAATTAGTTCCTCAACCAGATGGACTGACATAGTGACTACAGTAGTGGACTTGAGTGTGTTGGAGTTGTGAGGATGGCACAGACAGGACAGAGTTCAGATTGGTTCTTCATAGGGTCGTTATGAGTTAAACTCGATGACATCTAACAATAACATTCCTGATTGACTTCCTTAATAATTCAGAAGAAACTCATTGCTGTTGAGTTGGACCAGACTCATACCTGACCCCTCCAGTGGCCTTTCAAAGGCTGTAAATTGCAAGAAAGGTGATTGCTTCTCTTTCTCCTGTGAAGCAACTGGTGGATTTGAACCACTTGCCTTAGGGTTGGCAGTGTAGCTCCTTACCCACTAAATCAGAAAGAATAAACTGATGATGTACAGATATGTTTTGGTCTGAATTTTGTGATGTCAGTACCTACTAAGCTATTTTAATTCCTTATTGGTTAATCAGAATAGAAAATTTTCTAGCAATATCTTTTTTCTTTTTATTGAAAGTTTTTATAAAGAAGCCTTAAGTATATTATCTATAATCAGTAGGTACAGATTGATTATGTGCGTTTTATTTTTAAGTTGAAGAAATGATCATTGCACTTAAAATGAGATATTTCCTGTAAAAATCAACTCTGTTTAGAAAACCAGAATATCCCAGGAATATCTGGGATCCCGCGATTTCTGAGTGGGAACAGCTAGTAAAATTAACTAGCTACCTCATGCAATATTATTCAAAATGGGTGACCCTAGAGGACATTATGCTGAGTGAAATATCTAAGTCACAAAAAGACAAATACTGCATAGTGCCACTGTTGTATTATAGGACTGACATCAGGGTTGGGGTAAGACTGAGAAAAACTGGATAAATTATGTATACTGCATTGAAACAAATTAGAGGGAGAACAGTTTAAAAGCGATATATGATAGGGTATTGTGGTTATCAAAAGAGTCCAGAATTAAGGTTGCATAGTAGAGTGTACTCAGGGCGGGGGGGGGGGGGTGCAGGCGAGGGCATTGTATACCAATAAAGGAATTTTTCTTTTACTTTTCAAAGAGAGGAACGAACTCCGGGGCGGGGGAGGGATGGGGGATGGGTCGGGAGAAAAGTGCAACAATGAATGGAAATCGAAAATCTCTGTAAATGTTCATTAAAATTAATAAAATAAAATAAAAAAAGAATAAAAAAATAAAATCCCCCCCCCAAAAAAAATTAACTAGTTACTGTTATGTGCTTTGGAGTCACTTGAGACTCATGGCAACCCTATGCACGATAGCTCAGAACTCTTTCCTATCTTGAGCCAATCTGTCTCCAACACACCTGCCCCCCATTACCCCACTTACTGTGTCAGTCCATCTTATCCAGGGTCTTCCTCTCCTGCACCATCCTTACAGTCCTCTCCAAAGAGGCAATATGCCCAAATTATGTGAGAAGGAGCTTCAAAATCCTTGCCTCCAAGGGACAACATGGTTTTACCCTCTCTAAGAAAGACCTGTTTGTTCTCTTGTCAGTCTATGGTATGCTCAATACTTTTTTCAGCACCACAACTGAAAGGCATCAATTCTTCTGTCAGCCTTACTCACTGTTCACCTCTCTGATGCATGAAAAGTAATTGCAGAGACTATGGCCTGAATCAGGCACTCCTTAGATTCTAGACTGACATCTTTGCTCTTTGGCACTCTGGAGAGGTCCTTGACAGCAGATTTTCTTTTGATTTCTTGAGTGCTAGTGCCTAGAGTGTTGATTGTGGAAGCAAGCAAGTTGAAATTGTTAACAACGTTAGCCTCCAGTCTCAGTCTCCATCTTGTTGCTGCCAGTTAGTCTAGTGGTAACAATCTTTGTTTTTATATCTGTTCCTACTGTCCCTCTAAAAAGGCATTAATATCTATTCCTACTTCACCTGGTCCCCACTATTTCCTGTTCATCTCTGATACTTAAACCCACTGCCAGTTGGTACTCACTGTTTTACTATTACCCTGTCCATCTTCACTTACTTGGTCAACTAGTCAACATTGGTCCAGATTCTGTAGTGGACCTAGATTTAAGTTGTACTTTCCCAGAGATGTTGTAGTACAATTCAGGAAGCAGGTAAAAATCACTTTAAGAATGATTGATAGGAAATTGTGAATTTTGGATCTAGCAAGCGTAGTCTCGATAATGGCAACATTTTGCTAGCCTATGTTGCTGTTGTTATGTGGTGTTGTGTTGCTGGTGACATGTAGAGACCCTGTTATGTATAATAGCTCTGAAGCCTGCCAGTCTCACTGACTCCAACACACCTACACCCTTAGCTCCAGTTACTGTATCAATCCATCTGATTTGGGGTCTTCCTCTCCTGCACCGTCCCTCCACACTTCTGCATATGATGTCCCTCTTCAAGGGCCTCCTGGCCACAAACACAGAGTATGTGAGACGGAGCTTTGTGTTCAGTAATTTTTTTAATTATTATTTTAATTGAGATTTTAACAAAAATTTACAGAGAATTTGCATTTCCATTCATTCATTGTTGCACATTTTCCTCCCTACCCACCTCCCAGTTCACTTTTCTCACTGAAAAAAAAAATTCTTTCATTTGCTCAGTGCTTTTTTCTTTTAAAATTGACATGAAACGCCCGATTTGTATGGAAATGTTCTTCATACCTGTTGAAAAAAACCAGATGACTGGGCTTTTTTGCGGCTGCTTGAGCTCAGCTCTGAAAGATGACATTTTGTCCTACTCTCCTGAGGCCAGACTTGCTAAGATTCCACCAAGTTCTGCTAAATTCTTCTGTGTTCAGCCAACCCAAAGACATTATTTGATACCTCTCACTGACCTCTTATCCCTCTAATTTGTCCATATTTCTTCTTCATTTAGGTATCTTTTGGATAATCCTGACATTGTCAGAGGAAAATCGGTGTTAGACCTTGGGAGTGGATGTGGAGCTACAGCTATTGCTGCTAAAATGAGTGGAGCATCAAGGATCTTGGCCAATGACATAGACCCAAGTAAGGATTTCATATTTAAAGCTCTTTTCTTTCCTTTCCCCCTCTCCAGGGTAAATTTGGATTAGCCACATGGTGGTTGTTGCAAGCAATATTTTGTATGTACTCTGAGATTGTGAGTTTATATTCTAGTGAGATTATTACCTGTGGAAATCCTGTGAGATCTGAGTCAAAGGTGTGTTTTACCCAAGAGGATTTGTATGTTTCTGCCAGACATCTCAGAGTAATACCAACCTGGGAAGGAGTACCTACTCTTAATTTCTAGGCTAGCAATTTCCTGAAATCTGTAAGCAGCACTTACTAGCCCCAAGACCAAAGTGAGGATAGGCCTAGGTCTTGGGGGAGATTTTTATTCCATTAGAGGCTTTGGCAGATACATTTTTTATTTTTGAACTTTCTTCTTATTTACTGAGGAATAGTCCTTTGCGGATTCTTATTTTATACATGGGCCTCAGTGCTAACCTGCCACCTTGCTCAGGCCCTGCACTTGTTTTCCCGTGTCTTAATACAGCTGTAGCAAGCCAAACCTCTTGGATACTAAGCCAAATAAAGAGATCTCAATATTTCTAGGTATTCTTTAGCATGTTTTTGTTTGTTTTCAGGATGTAGCCTGCCATATTTTTGGAAATAGTAGTAAACAATGGCATATGCTAGCATATATAGGCTTCTTTATAAAACAGTTACAACAAAAAAGAGAAAAATGGGAGGAGGATAAAAAGATGTCGTTAGGAAATTTGCTACTCAAATTAATCAATAGGGAATTAAAATAGCCTCGCATATTTTGATTATGTGCTGGGTGTGTGTGTGTGTTTTTTAAGTTGCAGGAATCGCCATTGCTCTAAACTGTGAATTGAACCAGGTGAATCCTTTCCCCATTTTAACCAGCAACATTTTGGACTTGGAACAAGATAAGTGGGACCTTGTTGTTCTTGGGGATATGTTTTATGATGAAAGCCTTGCAGATAGTCTTCATCGATGGCTGAAGAAATGCTTTTGGACCCACAAAACTCAAATACTGATTGGTGACCCTGGGCGACCCCAGTTCAGTGAACATAGCATTCAGAATCAACTACGCAAAGTGGTAGAATATTCACTCCCAGAGGCTACCAGACAGGAAAACAATGGACTGACAACAAGCACAGTGTGGGATTTTCAGCCTTGAATTTCATAGTGCTCTCAAGTGTGGATACATTTAACCATAAAAGTTTGCTGCATATGGGTGGGGTTTTCTCCAGTTTAAAAAAAAAATAAAAAATTATATTTTATGGAAAATCTTGTTTTAAAAAATAATCGCCGTTAAGAGTTTTGTCAACCTCTGTCATGTAATTACTTCTGCATTTCTATTAATGCTAATAGTACAAATCTATGTGGGCTATGACTGTTCAGATTGGTTGTTCAAAGGGTTGCTATGAGTCGTACTTGATGTGAAATAACAATATCCACAATTATAATATTTGCGACATCATTCTTCCTTTGTTTTTCATTATCAGGTCATGTGGAAGTGACCAATGCCAGTCTATCTCATCTCACAGATGCCTACAATGCCTACATCCATGGTCTTCCTCTCCTGCACTGTCCCCCACCCTCACAAGCATGACGTCCCTCTCCAAGGACTGGTCTCTCCTTGCAACAAAGCATATCAGATGGAGCTTCAGAATCTTTGCCTCCAAGGAGCAGCCTGGATTCACCCTCTCCAGGACAAACCTGTTTGTTCTTCTAAGCAGTACATGGTATATTCAATACCCTTATCCAGCATCACAGCTCATCCCTAGTCATTGTCCAGCTTTCTGATGCATAGCAAGTAATTGTGAATGGCAACCCATAAATTGCCCCAGTACAGTAAACTGACAGACAAGTGCTGTACTAATAAGAGCAAATGATAAGCAAGCAAGCATATACACACTGAAACTATAAAGTAATTGTCAACAAATAATTTCCCTAACAACAACAAAATAACAGATAAGTGTTGTACCTCTAATAGCAAATTGTTGGTGTTCTTATGTGCTGTCGAGTCACTTGCAACTCATAGCAACCCTACGTACAAGAGCCCTAAATGCCATTCTATCCTGTGCCATCCTCGCCATCTCAAACACACTCATTCCAACCACTCCACTCACAGAATCGAGAGGTCTTCCTCTCCTGCACCATCCCTCCACTCTCCCAAACATGATGTTCCCCTCCAAGGACCAGTCCCTCTTTGCAACATGCCCAAAGTATGTTAAACAAAGCCTCAGAATCCTTGACTCCAAGGAGCATTCTGGCTTCACCCTTTCCAGGACGGACCTGTTTGTTCTCCTAGCAGTCCATGGTATATTCAATACTCTTCTCCAGCACCACAACTCAATTCTCTTTCTATCATCCCTTTTCACTGTCCAACTCTGATGCATAGCATGTAATTGCGAAGACTATAGCCTGAATCAGGTGCACCTTAGTCTCCAGCCTGATGTTATTGCTCTTCAATACTCTTGAAAGGTCCCTCACAGCTGACTTTCCCAATGCAATTCATCTCTTGATTTCCTGGCTGCTGCTACTGTATCTCAATCTCTTTACCATCTATAGTGATGCTGCCAATTGGCCCAATGGTGAGAATCTTTTTTTTCTTGACGTTGAGCCTCAATCCATATTGGAGGCTGCAGTCCTTGACCTTCTGCAGCAAGTGCTTCAGGTCCTCCTCAGTTTCAGCAAGCAGGGTTCTGTCATCTGCATAACATAAGTTGTTGATTTGTGTCATCCGCATAACATAGGTTGTTGATGACTCTTCCACCAATCCTAATGCCACATTCCTCCTCATACAGCCCAGCATCTCGGATCTGTTCTCCATACAGATTGAAAAGTTATGGAGACAAAATACATCCCTGATGGACCCCTTCCTGATTTTGAACCATGTAGTGTCTCCTTGCTCTGTTCTGACGACTGCCTCTTGGTCCAAGTATAGGTTTCGCATTAGCACAATCAAATGTTCTAGCATTCCCATTCTTCTCAGAGCCAGCCACAGCTTGTTGTGATCCACACAGTCAAAAGCCTTTGCATAGTCAGTGAAGCACAGATACACATTCTTCTGGTATTCTCTGCTTTCTGCCAAGATACATCTTACATTAGCTATTAGATCCCTAGTATCATGACCTCTTCTAAATCCAGCCTCCACATCTGGCAATTCTCTGTTGACATATTGTTCCAAATGTTCTTGGATAATTTTTTGCAGAATCTTGCTTGCGTGTGATATTAATGATATTGTTTGATAATTTCCGCACTTTGTTGGGTCACCTTTCTTTGGAATGGGAACAAATATCGATCTTTTCCAGTCAGTTTGCCAGCTGGTTGTTCTCCATATTTCTTGGCACAACTTAGCACATCCAGGGCAGCGTCTGTTTGTTGAAATAAATCAATTGGTATGCTGTCAACTCCTGGAGTCTTGTTTTTTGCCAATTCCTTCATAGCAACTTGAACTTCCTCCTTCATCACCATAGACTCTTGCTCATATGTTATTAACATGAAGGAGGAACAGTTGTAAGAATGTGGAGTGTAGAAGAATGAATGTAGGAAAATTGGACATTGTTAAAGAAATGGAAAAACAAATTAGGCATACAAATACCATGGTGCAGGCCCCAGCTGAGGCCCATGGTGGGGTTGAAACAGCTCCCTCCCTGGTGCTAATCCCAGTTCAAGGCTCAAGGGCCTAGCAAGGCTGGAATGGGGTCAAAACTGCTGTCTTCCAGGTGCTGGATCCCTGCTCATGGCCCAGGGACTCAGCAAGGGCAGGAAAATTGGAAAGAGGAAATTGAATTTTACTATACTTTGCAGTCCAAAATTGATGAAGCATATAATCAAGATTACTTAATGAAGATTGGTGACTGGAATGCAAAAGTAGGAAAACATGAAGAAGTATTGGTAGTTGGAAAGTACAGAGTTGGTGGCAGAAATGAGTCTGGAAATTGAATGACAGAATTTTGTATAATGATTTATTCATCACAAATACCTTTTTAAAAAAAAATATAAATGGTGAATGACAGGTGGACTTCACCTGATAAATTGCCCAGGAATCAGACTGACTACATGTGTGGAAAGAATCATTGGGAAACCTCAGTATCAGCAGTCAAAACCATGTGCTGACTGTAGAACAGATTGCCATTTACTTGTGTGATAGTTCAAATTGAAGCTGAAGAATATTAAGACAAATCTGAAAGAACCAAACTACAACCATGAGTCTATCCCACTTGAGCTTACAAATCTTAAGAATAGGTTTGAGGCATTGAACACAAATGAGTGAAGGTCTGAAGGGTTGTGCAGTGACATCAAGGGTATCATCCATGAAGGGAGCAAAAGGTCATATAAAGACAGAGGAGAAAGAAAAGACCAAAATAGATGTCAAAGGAGACTCTGAAAATTGCACTAGAGTGTTAAGAAGCCAAAACCAAGGGAAGAGATACATGCTGAAGTAAAAGAGCTGAATAGAAGATTTAAAAAGGCAGCTTGACAAGACAAAGCAAATTTTAGTATAAAGGAATGTGCAAAGAGCTGGAGTTTGGAGAATACAAATGGAAAAACTCAGCATTTCTTAAACTGAAAGAATTTGGAAAATAAATCCAAATGAGTTACAATACTGAAAGATGCTATGGATAACATATTGAATGGGCCAGGAAGCATCAAAAGAAGATGGGAGGAGGAGGAGAAGATGGAAGGTGTGGTGTCAAGGGTTTATTGTTCCAAAGGCTTTCCTATCCATTGATTTAACATTGTGATGTGGATGGGTAGGGACTTGCAAATAGGTTGTGTTAGCCTGTCCACAAAGGGATGACTAATCTCACCATTAAATTGAGCAGATCCAGCATCAGAATTTGAGAATCTCACTACTAGCAAATAAGGCAGTGTCTGCCTTTTGGGGCCAAAGATTGTTTTACCAGCCATACCTGGAGGAGAGCAGTAGCAGCTGCAGCAGAGAGCCAGAGACCTGACATGAGACACAGCTGATCTGGGACTGCTACCCTATGGAACCAGAACCAGGGGCCTTTACCTCAACTTGCTGGAGAACTTAGAGGAGAGACATCATAATTGGCAAGACTAAAGAGAATTTTGTAATACTGACCTAAAGCCACAAGTCTGAAGGGCCTGTGAGCACACTTCAAAAGCTGACCTGACTAAGAAATTCTGTCCTGTTAACTTCCCTTATAAACTTCATAATTGGGAGAATGTCTCTATGTGGTCTGTAAGCTACTGCAATGGATTTGACCCTATAGAACAGTAGGATTGCTGCTGGAATTGGTAGAATAAGGTGTGAAAGCAGTCTGACCTCATGGGAATTGGCTTTACATTGTGGATAGTGTTGGTAGGGGCAGTTCCCTGTTGTGGAGTTGATAAGAGGTCAGTCAGACTTACCATCCCCAGGCTGCCCTTGCTATTTTTAGAGAGAATACAGAGTGAGTGTACCAAAAGAATTAGTCAACACTGAAATATTTCAGGAAGTACTCTAAGATCAAGAGACACCGTGGATGAGGGAAGAACTTCAAGCTGCACTGAGGACATTAGCAAAAAGTAAGGTTATGACTATGCAACTGACATGTTTTAACTAACAGAGACAGTCCTGGACGTGCTCACCAGTCTATGCCAGGAAATTTGGAGGACAGCCATCTGACTGACTGGTTGGGAAGAAATCCATATTTGTTCCCATTCACAAGAAAGGTGACTCAACAGAATGTGCAAATTGCCAAACAATATCATTAATATTACATGAAAGAAAAATATTGCTAAATAGAATTAAAAAATGGCTAGAACAGTACATAGAGAACTGCTATAACTTCAAGTTGAGTTTAGAAGAGGCCATGGCACCACTGCTGATGTCAGATGGATCCTGTCTGAAAGCAGAGAATACAAGAAGAATGTCTATTTATGCTTTATTGACTATGTAAAAACATTTGACTGTGTGGATCACAATAATCTATGGCTAACATTGAGGGGAATGAGAATCCCAGAACACTTAATTGTGCTCATACAAAATTTATGTCTAGATCAAGAAACTATTGTCCAAACAGAGCAAAGGAACACTGCGTGGTTTGAAAAAACAAGAAAGGTGTGCTTCCAGGTTGTGTCATTTCTCCACATTTATTCAATCTGTATGCTAAGCAAATCATTAGAGAAGCTAGATTATGAAGAAGAAAGTAACATCAG